AGAAGGACAAAAAAAAAAAAAAAGACCCATAAGCCGAGGAGGGCCCTGCCTACAGGCAGAGCTGAGCTGCAGCCCACCCTCATGGCAGCCACTGCTGGCCTCTCCCAGCCTTAGCAGAGACTTTCTGGAACAAATCCCATCTTTAGAAAGTTGTGGTGATAGAGGACCAGCCCGTGGCTCACTTGGGAGAGCGTGGTGCTGACAACACCAAGTCAAGGGTTAAGATCCCCTTACCAGTCATCTTTAAAAAAAAAAAAAAAAAAAAAAGTCGTGGTGACAGGATCGGGCTCACAGCCATACAGGCCCACAGGCCCTCTCAGGCCAGCGCCACCCCCGGGCAGGCCCACCCCTAAGGCTCTCCCTTGTCCAGTGTCCCACTGACACCCGATTTGGGAGGCGGCCCGAGGAGTAGTGAATCTCACTGCTGTGTAGTGTGGGGTACTAGACGCCCTCAGTAGATACCCCCAGCAACAGGCAGTCTGAAGTGGGGGAGCATCTGAGTTCTCCTGAGCCTTCAGAGGGATCCAGTTTGAGTTCAGACAACATGATGGACGACCAATGGTCACCAATGCAGTGGCCCCAGGGGGTGCAGGCCAGTGGGGAACACGAAACAAGCTGGAGGGTTGGGGTGAGCATCTGAGTTCTCCTGAGCCTTCAGAGGGATCCAGTTTGAGTTCAGACAACATGATGGATGACCAATGGTCACCAATGCAGTGGCCCCAGGGGGTGCAGGCCAGTGGGGAACACGAGACAAGCTGGAGGGTTGGGCGAGAGGTGGCTGGCTGTGGGACTGTGGGGCAGCAGTGGGCTGCGTAAGGAGGCTGGGCTCAGCAGACACAGAGAAGGCATGGGGAGGGGGCACCCGCCATCTGGACGGGATGCCTGTGGGCACTTTTCACCATGGTCTGGGGCTGTCTTGGCTCTCTGGACAGGAAACTGCTTGACAGGGCCCACGTCTGCCACTTTATGTCATCTTTGGTGGATTTGCTGTGAGCTGGACACTCAGGGTGCTTCTGCTTGGGGCATCCCTGTAATGGTGGATCAAGGACAATGCTTGGGCCTGTGGGTCTGGGTGGTCCTGTGGGGCTGCCCAGAGCTGGTCTCTACCATGTCCCCACCCCTTACCCCTTTCTCTCACGTTTGCTTATCACTGGCCTGGAGTCCAGGGCCTCTGGTTGTCTTTAAAAAAGAGAAATCCTTGCTTCAGAAGCCCTCCAGCAGCCCATGCCCCAACTGCCCCCCTCTGGGGCTCACACCCTCAGCCTACAGTTGGAGAGTGAGGCAGGGCTGGGTACGGCAGAGGGAGGGATCGTCAAGCTTCCCCAAAATAATATATTGCTTCCATGCTGGGCTACATTCTGGCAGCACTGAGGAAAATGGGCATCTTCCTTGTATTGGGTTTTTCCAACACTTCTGTGTTGGTTCACATTTATCGTATTTAATTGAAAGCTGTCAACAGGGCAGAGCCACAAAGGTTTGGGTTGCAGCTGGTTGGAAAACTGTCCTTACATCATCCACAGTATGCTCCATTATCCCCACTCAGGATCAAGGGAACACCTAAGGAATTGGCCCAGTTGGTATCACACACGATGATATCCCCTTACACTTCCCACCTTAGAGATACCAAATGCTCCCACATCCTGGACACACACTCAAGAACTGGGACTGCTTAGAGATGCTCCCAACACCGTGGAGTGACCTCCCATCAGAGGGGCTGTTAAGGAAGTACAGGCCTCACTCAGTGCCCATCACACCTTCAGAGTTCTGGGTCACCGCACTGCTGAGCAGCTCCCCTATCAGAGTTTATTTTCTTGGTTTATTAGAATCAGCAGGCTTGGTTTAAGCTATGGGGAGGTGCCTGTTTTGCTCATCTAGAAAGCAAAAGGGATCATCTGTGGCCATTGTCCTCCCAGGGCTCCTGAGTAAATCTAGTGTGAAAACAGTAAAAGACCTTGAAAAGTCAAAACCCAGGCAGGTGCTAAGCCTTGGGTAGTTTTTAATCTAAAGTGCTACTACACTTGGAGAATGAATGCCCAGCAGTTCCCACTGTTCCCTTCCTATTTCCTCCCACTTCCTGGGACATGCCACATCCATTTCTCTGCCTCTGTGTCCCCAGCCCCGTCCACCTACAGCTCTCACCAGGGATTCTCCCTGTTCTGTCTCTTGTTACAGGCCCTAATACCTATGAAGATGCAGCCGCCTACATCCAAGCACAATTTGAAAGCAAAAACCGCTCACCCAACAAAGAAATTTATTGTCACATGACTTGTGCCACAGACACGAATAATATCCAGGTGGTATTCGACGCCGTCACCGACATCATCATTGCCAACAACCTCCGGGGCTGCGGCTTGTACTGACCTCTTGTCCTGTATAGCAACCTATTTGGTAATGATTCCAGCATTCACAGAAAAGCTTGCGTGCACACACACACACACACCCACACACACCACTAACAAATGCAAGTTGGTAAATAAACTTTAAAGAGGCATAAAAAAAACCTTATATATATATATATACAAATATATATTAAAAAAGTCTTTTTAGTTTGTACTAGAAAGAGCTGCGGACAGAACTGACCACCACCCCATAGCTCATCGATGTTTTCCTGGGACAGCACGTGTGGGTGCACACACACACTCACACACACATCATGGTGGGAGCCTGGTTTGGGAGTCCGTCTTTTTAAGGATGGCCCCAGGGTTTTGCTCTCTAAGACCCATCTCTGTGAATAGGGGGAGGGCAGAGGAAGGCTTGGCCCCAGTCCAGCCTGGCTCTTGCGTTCCGCCCACCGAGGCTGTGTGCTCTCAGTTCTGTCCGGCTCTTGTGCAAATTCCAAACCCTTTACAAAAGGGCCAACATGCTGAACATCTTCCTACCCCAGACCCCCAACAACAGAAAAACTTCAGGACGCTTCTCTTTTGGGTGGTGGTGGTTGTTAATTTCAAGAATTTAGAAGAATCACTGCTCCAACCAATCCACTGTCTCCTGAGGTTTCTTTGTTCATGTTAAGGAGGCAAGAATCAGAGAAAAGGGAGACTTAGTCTGTTTTCTAAAAGCACCTGAGGGAGAAGCTGTGGCTCAAATTCACCTGCAGAGCTGAAGCCAGCCCCCCTTGAAGAGGGCACGTGGGAAGGAGGGGAGCGTAGGGGACAGGAGTAGCCAAGGGGAGGGCCAGACTTGTAGACCTGACCAGGGTCAGGGGCCCATGGGGTGAGGCTTCCCAGGGCACTTGGCATGGGGTTCTCGATGCTGCCTGTGATGGGCTCCTCTAGGAGCCCTGTGATGCTGCCTCATTTTGCCCCACCCCAACATTAGTAAAAATGTTATAGCGTTTTTTGGTTGGTTGATTGGTTTTCAAAATCAAAGAAAATGGTCAGACCGGACCCCTTATCTCTCTCTCTACAGACTGCTTCACGGACTCTTTGCTGTTGACGTTGATCTCCTGGTAGCATGACCTTTTGGCCTTTGTAAGACACACAGCCTTTCTGTATCAAGCCCCTGTCTAACCTACGACCCCAGAGTGACTGACGGCTGTGTATTTCTGTAGAATGCTGTAGAATCCGGTTTTAGTTGAGTCTTTACATTTAGAATTTGAAAGGAAACAAAGAATATTTCTCATGTGCTTTGTAGCTTTAAAAAAAGAAAAAAAGGAAAACTCACCAGTTCATCCATATTTCTTTCTTTATCTTTTCAAATAAAGAAACGTCCACATCTACACTCATGCCCTCCCCATCGCACCTTGTGGCGTGGCCCCCAGCGCACCTGCAGAGGCGCTGGCCCATCTGCCACCAAGGGCTCCTTTGTGATGCACTGGCCGGCGGGAGTGTGCACAGGCCGGGATTTCCAGAAGGCACCCTGCTGCCTGTCAGCCTCTCAGACATGCCGGACACTGAGCAGTGGCAGCTCCCACTGTCCCAGCCTAAGCCACTCCAGCCACACAATCCAGGTTTGCAGAGAAAAAGCACAGCTCTCACTGGCCAGTAGCTGCCAAAAAGAATACCTATTGTATATGGGTATAAAGAAATAGAGCCCTACGGAAAAGGATTTTCCTGCCAACCCCCTTTCTACAGATTTCCTTTTTTTTTTTTTTTTAATTTTTTGTCCTGATGAGTACTATCTAGTACATACCAGATCAGCTATCATAGTCTTGAGGTGATGGGGTTGTGGTTTTTTTCCTTTGCCATTTTAGATTTTCAGACTTTGAGGCGGATGCCCTCCTCTCGTGTGTGTGCTCCCCCTCCACTCTTCTTTGTTTCAGTGACCTGTGTTCGCTCTTTCTCATGTGGGGATGTTTGTGCTGCAGATAAAAAGAACAACAACAAAAAATTTTTAAATACCACGTGATGGAAAAAAACACAAAAAAAATTTTAAAAAAAAGATGGAATGTAGTGTTTACATTAAAGCCACAGTTTTCATGATCAGTTCTATGTCATTTCTACTTTGTCTAGTATCCAAACCCCAAACCTCTTCACAGTTTCACTTTTAAGAAAATATTTGCTGAAGACCAGTCACAGCCGTTTCAAATAAAGAGGAGGCAAAAAGAGAAGACACATAAAAAATTAAAAATACAGAAAACCCCAAACCTCTTCACAGTTTCACTTTTAAGAAAATATTTGCTGAAGACCAGTCACAGCTGTTTCAAATAAAGAGGAGGCAAAAAGAGAAGACACATAAAAAATTAAAAATACAGAAAAAAAAAACTTGAAAAAAAAAAAAAGAAAAAAAAGCCCACGGATCTTTCTAAGCCTTTCTACTCCCAATCGGTGAGGTTTCTGTGATATCTTACACACTGCCAGTCTACTTCTCTAATGGAAAATTCATGTGTAGCTCAATAAAGAGAATGTTTGTCTGTATTTCTGAGTCTCACCCTCTGCCTTCCAGACTACGGTTGTTTGGGGTGGGCTTCATTATGACAGGACAGGGAAGGAGGAACTTGGCCACAAACACTGGGAGTCTGGTGGGTAAGGGTCTCCCCACAGGACCTTCTCCTTGTCCCCCTCAGTGCTGTCATCTGCCAGCCTAGAGTACTGTCAGTGAGACCGTCAGTGCCCCCCAGGGATGAGGGCAGAATGGGCCACTTCCTGCCTGCAGAAGCCCTCCTCCCAGCTCCCAGCTCCTCCTCCCTCTGAGCTGGTTTCGTTTGTTTTCTAGTGTAAGGTGGGACTGAGGATCAGAAAGGGAAAAAGGGAGGGGGAGAGCAGGTAATCCCAAACCTCCAGCTAATACAAGGTCCTTTCTTCTGTACCCAGTGGTCCTCCCACAGTGGGGGATTGGATGTTCCCAAGAACGAGGCCAAATTGCTTGGGCCTTCTGCACTCATGGGGTCACATCCACTCAAGTGCCAAGGACAAGCTCAGGACCAGCCAAACTAGCCAGGAAAACTTCCTTCAGCTTTGCCTCCCCTACAGCTCCTGGATGCCTTGAAGCCCCCTGGAAGCTAGACACACACAGGGTAACAGGACAACACAGCCTGGCACACAGATTGATCTCTGTCTCTGCCAGGCTGTAGGTCCTACCACCTCACCCCTAAATCGCCAAGTTTCTGCTGTAACACTCAAGCAAATCAGCTGAGACTAGGACCCAGAGGGGCCAACAGCCCACTACAGTCCTTGCATCATGTTGATGTGCTGCTTGCTAGCCTGGCAGTCAAGCGCAGCATCGTGCCATCTTTAGTGAGATGGAAGAGCCTCAAAGAGAGTTCTACATTCCAACAAATGGGAATCACCAGCTCAGAAAGACTCCTCCCTGGCAAGTTCCAATGGTCTTTTGAATCTAGCGGGGTTGTATGTAGGGGTTGATGTTTAAGAAACTAGGGAATAACGAGAGGCACGTTCCCTATTGTTGTAAATACCCAACCCGTCCATGCACCTGTTAGCCCTCTGCCAGGCCACGTCTCTTCTCCAGCTCTTTCCCCAGCAGCTCCCCTCGCCCGAACTTGTTCAGAGGGAGGCACACAACCAACCATCTCTACTGACCAGAAAGTTTGCAGTCCAAGCCACTTGACTTCATAACACTGGGCTCAGAGGACAAATCAAGATCCAAATGGAAGGAAGAAGGATGAAGGATCCTACACATGGCACATCTGAATTTCTCTAAAAGTGAGAATATGTTCTAATAGGATTCTTTCCCAACTTTCAAATGAGTTTTGTAAATAAAACCAGCAGACGTTTCTTTGCTTTATCTTTCTTAAGGGAGGTCAGGAGGATTTTTTGGAAAGGATGCAGGGAAAGACCAATTAAATCAGAACAAGGAGCACTGGGGGCAGAACCTACACATCGTATTTTTCAAAAGCTCCACAGGTGACTCTAACACGCAGCCAGGGTTAGAACCACTTCTAACAGCAGGAGCAATGAGAGGTGGAGGCTCCCAATGACGAAGGGTCTTCGAGGGCAGGCAGGCAGGCAGACGTTACTCCTCGACAAGGCCAAGACTCCCTTTTACATGTGTGCCCTGCTTCAGCAGAGCTCTGATTCCTCTCCCACAGTGGGGAAAGTCACACCACACAGAAGATCCAGTCTGCTGGCTACAGATAAAAGAGCACAGTGTCTTCACAGCTCAAGTGGGAAGTCAGGTCCAACAGGCCGCCTGAGCACCTAGGATTCATAAGTAGAACATCCACACGGACCTTATGTCTCTATGGTACATAAAACCCTCAAAAGCTGAAACAAAAAATCAGAAATAAGAAAACAGAGGAAGTAACACAGACTAGCTCCAGAAGAGCCCAGAGAGGGCAAGGGCAACTCAGCCACCATTTTCCAGCGCACCAACCCCTCCTTGGGCTCTACCACCCTGAACCAGCGGCCCAGTGGCAGCCCTGCTGCTACAGGGGCTGAGCAAGAGAGTGAGTGGCCTGACCTGCAGGCAACCAGGACAGAGGAGTCATCGGACAGGGAGCCCACCCAATGCAACTGACCTTAGCACCTGTCCCCAATGCCCCCAGAAGTGACGAAAAGCCAGGAGACTTCTGTACTGCCTGGAATCCTTAACTGTCCAGGAGTAACATCTAAGGGTGAATTTAGGACTTCTCTTCTTGGGTCATTTCAAGCTACTTAAGGCATTGCTCTTGCTTTGGACACTGTCCTATCGCCATATTCCAATGTTTCAAGACACTCTAAAACTGACTTCAGACAATCCTCTTTTCACACATCTGAAACATAAGGACACGTGGAATCAATGTCATCTTCAATGAGTGCAACATGCAAAGCATGACATAATTCAAGGAAAGTAAAATAACCTTTTTCTCCCCACTTACCTTGAAAAAAATGAAACAAACATGAGGGGAACATAAAATTCAGTTCTGCCTTCTCCAAATAAAATATTAGGGAAAACAAAATTAGGATTAAAAAAACCCTCCAACCAAAATGGTACACACAAAATCAAATGGGGATTCAACTCTGGCACCTCTGAAAAAAGCTGCTACAGCCTCCAGTCACACACCACACACTAGAAGACTTTGCTTTTTATTGTTGTTACTGTTTTACAATAAAAACAAACAAATAGCTATGCTCTCAGCAAAACAAAACAAATTTTTTAAAAAATCACAGAAATTTACTAACAACATTTCAAGGTAAGGCTTTTGAAAGATTTATTGAAATAAATTATCTCTGCCTACATATTTACCTATCACCCTTTTTTCAATTACTTTTCAACACTCTAAAAACTTTCAGTTATATAAAATACATTTAACTGCCAATTAATTTAGATAACACTGAATTCTTCCCAAATGGACTACCATAAAACTATGCTTTCAAACATTAAAAAAAAATTAATCCAATGGGACATAAAACTGAACTATGTAACCTATGATTGCATGTTTCAAATCCTTAAAGTATACAAAGAGTTTGAAGAGACTTGGGACCTGGGTCTGCTCCAAGGCATGTGGATTCAACACCTTCCCTTTCTACGTTTAATCAAACCAATAGGAACAAAGTCATGAAAATGAAGGGCTCCAGAGAAGAAAGATACAAAAGACATCTTTTATTTCTTCAGTAAAGCCCTCCAAAATTTACTCTCCCATCTTGCAAGAGCCACATCTTTTCCAAAGACCAAACTCACAGGCTTTGGCATTACCTAATTTACCTGACCAAGGAATTAAAACCATAAACAAAAGTTTTCTGCTTAACCCTTTCCCAGGCTCAGAGGGGCAAGGAAATGCAGAGAGGAGAGACACAGGGGCACGCTCATGAGATGCAGGAGCACCAGAGTTAACGGAAATAAAGCCAGCTGTGGATTGGGGGGTCAGCAAATCAGTCCCAAATGTAGTGGGACAGCAAGGGGTCACCTCCTCACACTCTACAGGCCGGGCTTTCCCCTCCTCTGCTCCAGGTATTGAACCAAGAGTTCTCTCCCCAGCCGTCCTGCCGGCCCAGGGGTCCAGAGCCTGTGGGTCTGGCCTCTGGAACACTATGCTTCCCCACTAAGGACGACAGTTTGACAATAGATATTGCCCCACAGTGGGGGTCAGCCTCATGCTGTGCATCTCCTCACCACTCTGTATGCATCCTCCCCCCAGCACACACTCTCCTAGCCAGATGTGGAGCTAAGGACACTAGCAGTTCTTGTGACTTGGGCATAAAGCAGTAATCGAGGCAGGTGGGCTGCCCACTTCCTCTTGATCGTCCCCCACCCCCAAGAAGTCCGGTCAATGCCAGAAGAGATCATGCCTAGAGTTAAAATGTGCAGCGTTTATAAGGGGAAGAGAAATGTCACATAGAAAGTATTACAAAGAAGGATTAAATTTGTCAGCTGTCCAAACACTATTAAGACCACATGCTTTATACAGCGGCAATGCAGTCAGCCCGCTTCTTCATACAGCAGGCAGAGCTGGGACAGGCCTCTTCTGGTCAGGCGCAGGAGGCAACGGTGGAGGAAGGCGCGGCAGCGCTAGGAGGTCTGCTGCTTCTGGAGTCTCCGTTCGGCAGCAGCAGCCAGCATCCTTCGACGCAGGGTCACAGGGTCAGAGGATGTGCCTTCCGAGGGGAGGAAGCTCGCTGAGGCCGTGTCATCTTCAGAACTTTTGTTCAAGAAACGCCTACAAAAACAAAAGTCACATGACAGAGATGGAAGCTCTGAACACAGAGAATGTTTGTTTTAAACCTCCCATTTTCCAGGTACCTTCATGAAGCTGTCACTCAGCACCCTCCCCTGAGAAACATCCATCCCCGAACAGATGAGTGGACGCTGTCTCTGCACCAGGGAGGAGGCCCTCAATTGGCTGTTCAGTGGTCTCTCCTCTGCCACTCCCTCCCCACAGACACAGCATGGAGTCCCCACGATCACCAGGTCTGTGGAGGGCACAAAACCCAACCAAAGGAACACAATATTGGCCCTGTCCTCCAGACATGAAATAAAAAAATCCTGTCCATCCATAGGAACACTACATGCTCCAGCTGCCATCAACCATGGGGATAAGTGTGGCACACAGATGTGCAGGCTGTGTTCACGAGGGTGGGCAGAGTGCACGAGGGAGGACTTGGGAGCCAGACACTAGGCCCAGGCCAGTGTTAACCTCTCTAAGCCTCAGTTTCTTCAGCTGTCAAATGGGTATAACAGCTGTCCCTCTTAGAGTTGTTAAAAGAATTAAAATAATTAATAAAAAGGGCCTAGCACACGTTGGCACAGAAGCACTATCCATGCAAGTGTGTTGGAAGATGTCCACAGCACCTGCCCACTGGAAGTTACCAGCTGGGCCCAGAGTTGCCACATCCTCTGTTTTTCTGACAGACTTGAAATCAGAGTTTTTAGGTGACATGTAATGGTTTTTCAAGGTTGCCATCTATTTAAAGAGAAGATGTGGGTTCAACATTAACAACGGCCTTCAGCCACTGGTTCCTGACCCGGATTAATGTTAACTCGGGCTGGAGAATCCACCCACTTGCGAGCCTGCTGCAGAAGGTCGTCCTTCCGCTGGACTAACATGCGCTGCCTCTCGTCAGCGGACTTGGAGAAGCGGCTTCCCCGGGCCTCGAAGTCTTCCACCTCGCTGGGCTCTACTTCCGCCTCACTGAAGTCCACGGTCTCCTCCAGGCGAGGACTGAGGTCCAGCGGCACGCGCTCGGTCTGCATGTGGGGAGGAGGCAAGGAGGCAGCTGTGGGCACAGGGCTCTCTCCTAGGCGGATTCCTCAGCCAGCCAGGGTGCCCCTAATCAAGGTTCCTCTGGACCCAAAGGGAGGACTGCTGCCAGGAAGGGAGGCAAGAGGGAGGAGCCACGAGCACATGTACAATGGAGACACAAGCCCCTTAGGGGCAGGCCGGCTGCACGTGGCTTGTGCACCACTAAGATGGGACCTGACACACGGTAGATGCTCCATGTTAGTGGAATAAGTAAATGATTACCAGTGTGAAAAACACAAGCACCTCCAAACTGTATTCTTGGAACATGGCAACAAAGTTACTGCTAGTTTGCATTCTGGGAATTTTCTGTTCAAGTCTAATTGCTCAAAAATTTAATCAAGTCTTATCACATCTACTGTATGAATTTTATATCCTCACTTGACTCTGTCAAGCAGGTAAAAAGGGTAAATGCTAAGGATCTTTTTTTAAAAAAATGTAAGAGGTTATCTGGTTGCTTGTGTAACAGGATGTTAAAATGGGATGCTTTCTTGGTTTTGGCTGAAGCTCTGAAGGCCAAGACAATGCCCAGGAACCCCGACAGCCTTAAGCAGGTGCCCGACCACCCAAGCTGCAAGTGCTACCAGACGCAGACCCAGGCTGGCCAGTGCCAGCCTGTCACCCACCTGCAAGCTACAACAGGACTAAGGCGGAAGTGGTGAAAGGTGGGCTATTTTACTTAAGAGCTCCTGGTGTGCGGGACTCTCCTGTCCCTCACCCTCACCGCCTCTTCCTGCCTTCAGCCAAGCACAAGAGGGGGCTTGCAGAGAGCCGTGTGGAGAGCCTGACTTGTATTCCCTAGAGTTATGGGGATACAGGGACTGGTGACTACAAACACCTGGAAATCTAAAAGAAACTGGTCACAGCAGACCAAAAAAAAAAGAGGGGAGCAGGGTATGGGAGGGGCTGTGATGAAAGCAAGGTCTACTTCCACTGACTGCAGGCAACAGTGTGTGTGTCCCGGGGCTTAGAGGGGCATCCTGCAGGAGATAACCAGCCTAAGGTTATTGAAAATAGACTGCCCAAAAGGACCACTTGGAGGAGTGTTGTGACCCCACAAAGGTAGGTCATAAATAGCCAACCCAGGTTCAAAAGAAGTCTATCTGAGGAGGTTTCTGGTGCTAGATGGGGCAGGGGGACAGCTGAGATAACCCACACGTGCACACACACTCTCACACACACATGCTGCTAACCCTCCTAACCCTCTCCCCTGAGCCTGACCCTAGAGGGACTATGAGAGAACAGCCAGTGAGCAGAGGAGAAGACAGAAGGCCATCTCAGCCCCTGCTCTGCTGCAGGCCAGAGACTCGGAACCCAGGGAAGAGGGAGCTGTTGCGATGATTGGGCTAGATTGAGGTTCTTATTAACTGACTGTCATCCAGGGACTTTGCATTTCCTGAGAATGACCAAAAATATTACAGAGCAAGCTTCCTTATGAAAAAGTACTTCCCTCCCCTATATTAGAAAACATTCTGAAATCTTCTCACTAACTAAAATAGAGCTAGGCAATCGATACAGAAACTGAACATGCTGTATCCACAGATGCCCTCTAGCCAGTCCAGCGTTCGTATCTCAGCTAGGCCAGCTATCCAAAAACTGGGAATGCAGAAGCAGACTCTTCTCCAGAAGCCACGCACCATTTTTCAAATGATGCACAATCCAATTATGGATTTGAATATGAACATTTTAACCTAGCAACAGATTTGAAGAAGTCTTAGTAGTTTTTACTGTTTCCTATTTGCAAAGAAAAACATAAGAGGTGAAAGCAGCCCTCCCTGTCACTGCTTCCAGAAGAGTCCTGGCCCACACCTTAGAACCAAGCCCCGCATCAGGAAGCCCTGCACATCACAAACAGAAAACCAAGACAGGGTTGTTTGGTTTTTATTTTTGGTCTTATAAGAAAGTGTTTTTAAAGTATGGTATTGATTGGGCCGACCCATGGCTCACTTGGGAGAGTGCGATGCTGATAACACCAAGGCCACGGGTTCGAATCCCTATATAGGGATGGCCGGTTAGCTCACTTGGAGAGCGTGGTGCTGACAACACCAAGTCAAGGGTTAAGATTCCCTTACCAGACATCTTTTTTTAAAAAAAAAGAAAGTATGGTATTGATTAAGTAAATGGGAATTACAGAAGAGGGCCAGGAACTGGAGCCCCCAGGGTGTAGGCTAAGACCATGGGAGAGAATGCCTCTGCCCTGGACACCAGACAGAGGAGCTGCTTTTGGTTAGGGGAAGCTACTCCAAGTCATCTAAAGCGGGTATCTAGACAGATCTGGTTCCCAAGATACCACACTTCCTCCACCCCCACCTGGCTCAGGAGGTCTCATTTTTGCAAAATGCATGGAAGCACCTGAGTTAGACAAGTGGGGGTGGGGGGAGTAACTCAATAGCCTCAGTTCCCTAGAGAGCTTGCCCTCATCCATCCACATCCAGGTTTGGATGGGTACATTCACCCTCACAGTCCTGGGCCCAGCTTCCTTCTGCCCGTCCTCATGTTCCCACTCAATCCTGAGGCAACAGGGCTGGCCCAGAGAAGCACCACTCCTTTCTCCTCCAGGGCATGAGGGCAAACCCCAGTGAGTGGGCTGCAGGCCCTGAGTGGAAACACAGGCCACACCATGGGCACAGCTCGATTTGTTAACTTTAACACTGAGCCGGATAGAGCACACAGCCTTCTTTTGTACTCTTGCCTAAGCCTCACAAACGCTGGGGCAGGACTGAAAAGGACCATTGCCAGGAACCACGCTACTCCTCCACAATCCCATGTACTCACTCTCTTTAGAGTGCACATCTTACCTGAGTGGAAGTTTCTCCCTCTTCCTGGTCATTGTTTGGCCTTTCCACAGGACTGTTCAAGGCAGGTCTAATGCTATCTGACCGCTGAAAGAGAAACAGAAACAGAACAGAGTCGTTCACAAATTAAGTAACAGGTACAAGGGAAACCTCAGCACAGCCTGCAACTTTAGCAAAGTCCAGAGCCTCAAATAAATTAAAATGCTACAAAGATTGGAGGGCAGCCCCTAGAGAAACAGAAACAGAACAGAGTCGTTCACAAATTAAGTAACAGGTACAAGGGAAACCTCAACACAGCCTGCAACTTTAGCAAAGTCCAGAGCCTCAAATAAATTAAAATGCTACAAAGATTGGAGGGCAGCCCCCTCTGCCCAGAGGGGGAAAAAAAGTGCTACAAAGATTAAAAGGCAAGACAAAGGAGCCTGAGGCCTAAAGTAGAGTTCCAAGTTTGAGAATTACCACCAATTGGCTCCCCATTTAGTTTCGCTTTCAACAAGAGGAATTGCACAACGAAAACAATGACAACAGCAGGTAACACTGACTGGACACTTAGCTGTGCACGGCACCAGGGAAAACCCTGATATGGCTGTCTCATTTACCTTCACATCCTACGAAATAGGTACTGCTGTTACTCTCATTTTTAGCCAGTTGAAGTTCTTGACCAATGCTGCAGATACTTTGGGGTCCTGCCCATATCCCTTCAGGTCACCCCCACCCCCCGCCAGTGCTTGCTGGCTAGTTTGTTATGTCACTGCCTGAGGACTTCCTCTGGGCGCATGAGGTAACTTTGCCATTCCCAGAGGCAGACCTTAACCAGTGACTGACGGGAATTAGTATATAAACACCCCAGTTCCTCATCTCTCAGGAGAGGTAACATGTTCTACACTGGATCCCAGAGGTCCCAAATGGGATCCACCTTCAGTAACCCACAGTGGCAACCTGCCTGGTAACAAACCCTTTCTTGGCTGGCTTCCCTTCCCTAGCTCACATCCCTAACCAGCTACCAGTGTTTCCTGGGATCACTTCCCAAATTAACTATTTGCATTCAAATCCCTGTCTCAGGGCCCACTTCTAGGAAAATCCAGGGCTAACAACCAAGTCAAATAGCTGAGAACTGGGGAACCACATTCCTAGAGCAGGGAGTTGGCAAACTGCTGACTGAGGGCCAAATTCACCCCTCCACTTACCTTTGTAAATAAAGTTTTGTTGGAACATAAGTCTTGCTCGTTCATTTATATTCATTATACTTATATATTTATTATATTTATTGTCCATGGCTGCTTTAGTGCTATAACAGCAGAGTTGAAAAGTTACTACAGAGACTGTAATGGCTTGCAAAGCCTAAAATATTTATCTGCCCTTTACAGTAAAAAGTTGTCAACCCTTGTCCAACAGGAACTGATGGATGCTATGACCTCCTAGGCTAGCAAGGGCAAGTGGGTTTGGGGCATATGTTTGTACAAAAAAATTACTGAAATACATTTATCCTTTCTTTTGGTGGATCTGTTCTTGGTCACAATCTGGTGAATGACAGGGTGTTTATAGAAAACTTTCATCAAATCATAAATGATATTCAATTGTTAAATAACTAAAAATGCTATTCTAGAGAATTAAATTTTGTGAAGACAAAATCTGTTTGTCCTGCTTAAAAACCCCAGTTTTACCTGTGTGGGAAAAGGTACTTGAATCCGTCCTTCTAAAATGTTGTCTGTTGTTATCTCAACTGAGCGCGTCAGCTGGAGGTCCTGCAGCACCAGGTGGTATGGAACCTGGGGAAACATCTCTTGAATCTGATGTGCCTACGGGAATACAAATACAGAGGTCACAGAAACGTTAACTCTCAGGCCCAGCCCGTGGCTCACTTGGGAGAGTGTGGTGCTGACAACACCAAGTCAAGGGTTAAAATCCCCTTACCGGGCATTTTTAAAAAAAAAAAAAAAAAAAAAAA